TAATACCAATAAATGTATTATATTGATCCATTGTATCATATTTTAATATTAATACAATACGATTAATACCAAATGAATAAACATTCATTCCTCGACATTCACCATATCGATAACTACCAGCATGTATAGCAATCGAACTATTTTCATCAAGTAAAATATGTCCACATATTTGATTAAATTTTTCATGTCGATGTATTCCATCGATTAAATCTCGATGAAAATTAAATTGATAACATAATAAACGAAATCTTTGTCTATCATATTCATTTCGTGGTAATTCAAATACTTTATTACGTGTTGATGACCATTCACGTAATTGATTAAGTAAATATTGAAATAAATTTGGATCACAATCAAAATATAAACGTCCATCATTATCATATGTCATTTTTTCTGACCATGGTTTAGTACAAGCTAAAGCAAGAACTGTATTTGGAATAGATATTAATGTTGATCGTCTTGTTGACATATGTATACCACCAATATTAAGTAATATAATTGGATCATCTTCAATAGATACACAATATCGAGACATTATTTTAGATTGAGCTTTTGATAATGATAATGATGATGATGATGATTTTGTTGAAGTATCATGTGATACAACCACATGTTTATTATCGGTTGTCTCGTTTGTTTTTTGTGCTGGACTGCTTGTCATTATTTCACATGTGTTTGTGTTATTGTTTATTTAAGTAAAACGAATGTAAAAGGAAAAAAAAAAAGGATTGAATAAATGCCATTTTATCGATTGAAATTTTAAGCATTCTGTTGTTTTCGACATCTATCGAAAATGAGTATAATTGTATATGACAGATTTATATCAATGGAGTAGTGTAGACAGAAGATCGTGGGTGATGAGGCAGAGAGCGAGAGAGAGAGAGCAGTCCTTGAAATATAGTGTCAACGATGGTAATTATCATGTTCTTCTTTCTTTTGGTCGTAAGGCAGTATCCAATCTAGCCTACGCTTGGTTCTACCATTTCATTACTGTAAAATTATCATTTTTAATATATAAGTATCGATTAGAAAATAAAAATATCCAAAAAAAAAACAAAACAAAATGTAAAGTAAAAATGTACTTTGATCCTAGCATATAAATATAGAACATAAGTCATATTGTAGGGACATATTTAAAAAAACATGAAAAGCATATGATGAGAAACGGCATTTATATTTATGTATGACGAGAAATAATCATCAATTTTTGATGGACTTTTAAAAGGATTTTCAATTATTCTTAGTTATTAACAAATATTATCGAGCGGTTAACGTTTGAAGGCGTCAATTAAAAATGTCTGCTTTATGATAGTATAATATCTGACTTCAATATCCAAATATTTATCGATTTTTGATGAACATTTTCCAGCTGTCGCACATATGACCTTTAAAAATATCTCTTCTTTCTATTTTATTCTAGCAATTCTCTGTTTGTTTGCCAACTACTCAAAAGAAGATAAGCTTTCTCAAATATGTTATTTGTCGTTATTTCCATTAGACAAGTAGTGCCGATAAGATGACAAATGCTGTTTCTTTATAGCCTTGAATTTTAAGAAGAAATTTTGCCAAATCTTTGTTTTTCAATTATCAACGATTTATTTTTCAGAAACATTTACAATTTATTGAATAATATTTTTAACAAATGTTAAACACAAAAAAAAAGTATGTATTGACAAAACATTTCATTATGAAGACTTACACCATATAGAATCATTTATATTGATGCATAATAACGGCTGTAGTTTTTATCAGATAAGTTCTTCTACGTGAAGCATATGCTTGAAGCAAAACTGTATATAGATTGTTTACAGACAGTAAACGATCGATCTGAAAGAAATACTAATGATTCTAAATAACATAACCACTAACCATAAGACAATCAATACGTCACATATATCAGCAATATTATTTTCAGTTATTTGTAATAATAGCCAGTTGTCACACTATATGACCTTAATTGTATTATTTTTAATAGTTGAAACGGTTGACTTAAATAGAACAAAAAGAAATTGTTTTCATTCTATACACTTGAGATGTAAATAATATTATTTTCTCGAACAATCCAACCGTACTGAACTATTAGCCTTATAATACAAAAAAGATGAAAAAATGTTTTCTGATATCTGGTTTTGTCATTATATATTTATTTTATTTAGAATTGATTAGTTTTCAAGACAAGAAACATTAAGATGGATAATTTTTTTTTCTTTTGGTTAACCGAGTTTCCCTTTTTTTTTTGATTATTCCCAAAAGGCTATAAAGTCTATGAATTTCTTTTTCTTTCATCAAACTTAATTCTGACACATAAGAGATGATTGACAGAAACAATATAAACTGACACACTTAAATAAACAGATGATAATGAAAAAAAAGTATCACTTTTCAAAGATTAATGTTCTACAAAATAGAAATTATTATCATTTGACATATCAAGAACTAACAATGACTATGAAACTCTAATCTTAATACTCGATAATTTAATTGAAATTGACATTTTATTACTAAATTTGATTGTCAATAAAGCATTAAACCTTTATAGTTCTGTTTTTTTCTCTCTTGATCTTATCTCAATGACCTAGTTATTATACTCCCGATATATTCGAGAGCACTAATAGAGAATCAACAATTTATGATGACATATAGATTCCTACAATCGTTCATATGTCCGATGAATCAAATATATAAAATATTGAACTTAGTGATTTCAACTACTAATTGAATCATCATTCAAATATATATATATATGTATATGTATGACTCGATTATAACTATTAATATGTCAATTTATTCGAGAGATGAACGAAAAAAAAATAATAGAGATAAGATATAAAATCTCTTTTTTTCATTGGCTCAATAAAAATTCTAACAAGCCCGTCGTTTAATATTGATCGATGTCCGATAGACTCGATTTCCTTATTGATTATGCGAATAGTCTTATTTTCTCTTTTATTGTGATTGTAACCCTCGATCTAGACACATACATATAGTTACGACATGATCGATGATAGTTATGTCTGCTATTGATTACTGAAATTCATTCGTTCTACTAGTGTATTTCTACATATCTATTCAAACAATTTTGTTTTCGTCGTTTCAATCCAAGTTAATATATAAGATCTTACATATCATCACAATTATTGTTTGTTGAATGTAATGAGAAGAAATATCAACAATTGGTCTCTTACAAACACATGTCTACTCCTTGTACTGAATGTTATTACTTGAAGGAATTAGTTAAGCTCATATGAATCATCTTTATTTAGAATATTAGGCATGTTTTTTTTTAGCAATACATTTCCTATCGCCATTAACTAGAAGCAGATAAAACACATCGACTATTCCAATAAGTACGATATTGCTTACGTTCGAACGATCTAATTGCGTTTATTTGTCAACGACAAAAACACATAATCTTATACTTATCATTCCTTTTGCAATCAATAACAACGATAATTTTGGCACATTTAGGCATCATAACATAACAAAATATTTATGTCCATTTTCTGATTTTTTTATTAGAAATTGATCAATAGCATTTAAAATTATGAAGCAATGTCAAAGGTATATTATATTCCAATAGGCTAATCATAATTTCATGTTTTTCTTTTCTTTATCTTTTTTTTTTTTTACACTGAATAATGTTAATATAAACGTGTATTTATACAGTCGACTAATCAAAAGTGTTAATTTGATGTGATTATGATCACTGGTAGTCCGGCTTCTAGTTATAGATTTATCCTTTTCATTAGAGGCCCCCGATGAATTTACATGTGATTAAGAATTTGCGTATTATATATTTCTCTTTCTTTCTTTTTTTTTTCCATATCTGCAAATGAGAACATCATTTCTAGAATCTCGTTCCTTCTTACACACTAGCAATTGAATTATCAGTAGCAAAAACTCGACATAATAAGACATAGAAATAACATTTAAAATTCTTCAGTTTCAATGTATATATGATTATCAACTGAACTTATTCATGTAATGAATTTTAATAAATAAACGATAAGCACAATTATTATTTGTTTTGACATATTAATAAGAAAATTCTAATCAAAATATAATAGATTCATGTATAATGTTTGTACTCATGTTTGAATGAATAAAAATATTTGTTCTTCTCATTTTTATTAGCCTAGTTTACATACAGGCGACAGTCAATTGGAAAAATATGCGTGTCATATCATATGACTAACTAGTTATTCTTTTCTTCATATTCATCATTTTTCAAGTTTTATTAGCGAAACTTGAGAGTGAAGACTTATTTGTGTCGTCTTTTTTTCTTGCTTATGAAATTAGAAATTATCTGAGCTTGACAAGAAACATATACTCTTATGTATGAAGCTAAAATGAGAAATAGCAAATTCAAGTTTCATCTTGCATTAACCTTTATTAGGAAATAACAAAAAGAGAAGGTAAGCCAAAAAAAAACAAATACGTAGAGTTACATATCATAATATAGAATATTTTTTGTAAAATCCAACCATCTTCATAGAATAATGTAAACATAATATGCTGAGACTAAAAATACCCGCTCTATATACATCTATTGAATTTTCCCATCAACGAAGAATAACTGAGTGGAAAAAAGAGAAAGAAATCGTCATTATCATGATTATAATCTAGTATGTCAAGATTACAGAGACCAAACGAGTATGCACCATATATAAAAAATGAGAGGAAGCCGGTAAGAATGAGAAGAACAGAATGAGAAAAGAAACAGTCAGTTTGTATCGAGCGCGAGAAGTCTATTTAAGTAAATTAATGTTCATCTTTTTCACTATCATACGATTGATGTTAGGTCTTCTTCGTATGACTGCTTCTGATAGATTTGGGTAAAAAAAGAGAGAGAGAGAAAAAGAAGAAAGAAAGAAAGAAAAAGGGAGACATTTATTGAATAAGACTAGCGCTTTTATCCTAGCATGTTTTGATATGTTTTTCTTAAATGACTTTGATCGCTCTTTGCCATCGTAGGCCAGTAAATATTCCCTTCTCGTCTTATGTCGTCTACGAGTCATCTAACCGTGGCTGCAACTAGTGAGACGAAAATCGATAAAAACCATCAACATTTCAATTGGCGCACTCTACCTTGTGACGGCTCATCAAATTTACTTCATTTGTCATCGTCTCCGACAACAAATTCAAAATATCTTTATTATGTAAATGCTGAACCAACTCAGAAACAATCAATACCACCGACTCCATCAATAACAGCGACTACAACAACAACACAAGTAACAGCATCAAATGCTCGTCGAAAACTAAGTACTATTTCATTAACAGTTCCTTGGTATAAAAGAACTCGTTTACCTAGTGACGATAAACTTTCACAAAAATCTCATAAAATGTCTCGCGATCGTTTATTACCATTAGACAAATTATTTAGTAGTGGTACAATACAGAAAACAACAGACGAAGAACAAACTTCACCAATAAATGATATAATTCCATTTGATGAATCTATAAAACTTAATGAAAAAAATATACGACATGTAAAAGAAAATGGTTATTTACATAATTCATCACATTTAATGACCAGGTGAGAATGAATTAAGTTAATTAGTATTCAATTTTGTTTTTTTTTTCTATTCTTCAATGAGACTACTTAATAATCCTTCTTATATAAGAATGCGCAATTATATATAAATATTTATAAAAAACTACTTCGAATACGTCAAAATATGCGACAAAACCAGTATCTGTTTTTCTCTTCTTAAGTAGACTTGACAACTACTATTATATATATTCATGATATAGAAACTATTTACAGAAATACTATTACTCTTTTTTTTCTCCTGCATTCTTTCAGCAAAGTAGTGCTAAAAAAGAAGATAATTCTAACAATTTCCTTCTTTTTTTTCTTTTTCTTATATAACTAACAGACTGCAATATACAACGAAAGGTACAAAAGCTCTACGTCTATTGGGCGATGGTGGTCGTAAAAATAATAATGATACACAGCAGGATCAAACATTTAATCCAAAAGAATCCGTCCTGTCTAAAATTGCTCCACGTGGAAGTGCACAACGTCGTCTTCTACTGAAAAATGGCGATGTCAATATTTCCAGGTATATAAATAATTGTTTTTTTTTTTTTTTTTTTTTTATAATCTCAATGTTTCTTTATAAATAAGAAAGAAAAAATTTTTAATTAATTTTTTTTTCAAATTTTCAATAAAAAAAAAAA